AATAAAAATCGATTTTTACATATATATATATGTAATAAATATTTAGTTCCGCAATATATACAGGGTGTTCAAAAAGTCCCGGACCGGTGAAATATCTCGAAAACTAAGCATTTTAGAAAAAAATGATTCAGATAAAAGTTGTAGGGTTTCAAAAGATCTATTTACTGATCTTATCAGTTTGACCTTGGATGGCGTCGCCAAGGTCAGATCGAAATCACATTAACTTTTTTAAATGGAACTGCCTACTTTTTATTGCATATTCTTGTAGCTTATCTCGAGACCTTTCCAAAACACTATAAACAAATGTATTTTCGTTAAGTATTTTTCGAGTTGTGAAGCTTGAAAGTTACAGTACATTACAGCTTTCAAGCCTCACAACTCGGAAAATACTCAACGAAAATAAACTTTCTTGTAGTGTTTTGGAAAGGTTTCGAAATCGGCAAGGTTAGAAAAATTCAAAATGACGGATCCAATATGGCGGTTGAAGGTTAAGGTCAAGGTTAAGCTCACAGCCAATGTCACCATCGAATAGTCTACAACTTTCCAAACAACAGTCCAAATTCGAGAAAATTAAGAATTTTTGTCTACCATGTTAGATTTGTCCGCCATAACCAGCTGATTTCGAGACGGAGTAACAAGCGACACATATACGTTACTCTGCTTTGAAATCAGCTGTTTACTCATCATTGCTAAGAGGTAAGCCATTTCTTTTACGTACAGAGTCTGACCTACTGCTTCTCTTGAGCTCATTCGTTTATACATTTTAATTAATTACGGAATAAATATTAAGAAAATTTCAAAATAGTATATAACTTTTATGATTATTTTGACCCGTACACGGCGGTTGCTCGATCAGTTACTGGACACCCTGTATATATTACAAACGCAATCTGACGGACAAACGCGCATCGCTTGTGTGCGTGCGTATACGTGTGATCTGAATCGCTTGGCGATGCAAACGTGGCTTTATGGACAAACTCATTTGCTTGTGTACGTGTGTACGTGTGAATCTGAATCTGAAAAATCTGAGAATCTGCGCGAAAATAAAAGGACTTTTTAGCGAGCGAGATTTCGAGTTCTACGTATTGTCTGCACCAATCTTAACTACTTGACTGGCACGCACGCCAGAAGTCGCGCGCTTTACGCGAGAAGAAACTCGCCTTACTTCTATGCTGGAAATATGTTGTTGAATTTAAAAAGTTACTAATCTTATGTTTTCGACATTAAGGAATCCAAATTTTATGTCAAAATTAAAGAATTTTCAAACCCCGATGCACTATCGTCTGTTTAATACGCACGGAAAATTCTTTCTTTTACATTGATTTGAGAACTAAGATTATACTCCGGAGTCGTGATTCACAGCAAATACACAAAGGTTAACTACGTTTTAAAAATGTTTATTACAATTTGACTTAACAAACAATATTATAAAAGTATAATCTTAGTTCTCAAATCAATGTAAAAGAAAGAATTTTCCGTGCGTATTAAACAGACGATAGTGCATCGGGGTTTGAAAATTCTTTAATTTTGACATAAAATTTGGATTCCTTGATGTCGAAAACACAAGATTAGTAACTTTATAAATTCAGTAATATATTTCCAGCATAGAAGTAAGACGAAGTTCTTCTCGCATAAAGCGCGCGACTTTTGGCGCGCGTGCCAGTCAAGTGGTTAATCAAACTTGGTGCAAATTACGCGCGTGCTAAACATTATATCAGGAAATTTTCATCAGATTTTTGATTGTAATTTTTGTGCTTGAGATATTTGACTCGGAAGACCAATCGACCTAGAAATTCCAGATAAGTTTACACGGTCGCGTTGTTTTGTTCGATACGTACTGGGCGTCGTGCCGCGACCGCGGCGCTTGACTACAATATATATAAAGATTAGCTAAATCTAACGCGAGTTAGACAGTTCCCTTGTGAGATATAGCAATATATAGAAGCAAGATATAGAATTGTAAGATATTTCAAAGCAAGAGGGTACATTCAATTCACATTATATACTGGGTACCTTTATGTATTTACTTAAAGTGTGTTCAATAAAGTTGAACAATTTCTTTTAATATGATTATGAAGTTCAATCCAAGTTCAGTCGCAAAATTAATTTAAAATATATTAATATAAAATAAGAAGAGTGCAAATATGAAGCATTTTTATATTTTTAATACAATATAGTATTGAAAAGGAATATACATTTTAGGCGCTACAAACTCCTACACTCATATAAATGTCCGTTTTAATATATAAATCTTTTCTATTTTCATTTAATTGGTTTATGGTAAAATTAACATGAATGCAAATAAAATTGTTACAGATTTAAAGGTAGTCGAAAATGCTCCAAAACGGCATTTTTTGCACTTTTAGGTTAGGATATCTCGAAATTCTGACGTGCTAGAGCAATTCTGCGATCAAATTCGAATTCAGCGTCGAAAATTATGTAGGAAATCACTACTCCTATTCTTGTTTCCAAAACTCACAGGCCTGTGTTATTAGTATCAATGCAATATTATAATCTTTTAGTTATTATTAATATTTCTTTCCTATGAAATCTTTAATTATAACACAAAAATATTTTATTAAAAAATATCTTTAAAATATTAAAAATAATGACTAGATGAAGATAAAAAAGTTTACATTTATAGATGTTCAGTGTGATGACTCTTAATATCAATGCAATATTGTAATCTTTTAATGACCATTGAGATTTTTTTTGATGAAATAAGAAAATAAGAATGTATTAATAATATAATAATAATATATAAAATGGGGAGAGAGACAGAGAGAAAGAGAATATAATATAATAATATAATAAAAAAAAGAAATCCTTCTTTCATAGGATTGGTAATTTTACTATTAATAATTTCATCATGCATGTGAGTATTTTTAGTCTCAGTCACGAGCTAAACACATAAACGCAGTTTAAGACGTAGTAAATTCACATGCAAAGATAAACATTATATGAGGTTTTTAATTATCAAAGGAAATCTAAATGATCATTAAAAGATTATAATACTGCATTGATATTAATCCTCTATTGCCCTTCGTTCAGCTGACGAACGTTAGTACTCTCGTATAAGCGAAATGCTATGCCTGTTATTAATTGAATTTAAATGAAAATTTAATTATTGGTGCATTAATATGGCTTCATAAAAGTGAGTGGATGCATTAAAATATTGATTTATTATTGATCCATCAGAAAAAAAGTTTAAATTTGATAACAGTACGAGTCACATTAATCTCATTATTTACTCTTGCTATGAGTGTGCGATAACACTTTCCAGAGTTTATTAATAAAAGTTATACTAACGAAATTAAAAAAAAGACCATACAAATATAACCTAAAAGATTGTAAACGAAAAGTCAGAAAGTTTCAAAGCCAACTGTGTGAAGCTATTTTTATATAATTAGAAAATAAAATTTCCACTGAGCGAACTTGCTTTATATGAAAGCAATAGAAGATTGATGTATTAGCAAAAATTACACTAACGAAATTAAGGAAACTATCAACAAATATGATTTAAAAGGTTGTAAATGAAAATTTAGAAAGTTTCAAGTCAACTGTTACAAGCCATCTTCATATAATTAAAAAATGAAATTTCAACTAAGTGTTCACTTCATATGAGGACAATCGAGGGTTAAGTCATCACATCAAACAAATGTAAACGTAAACTTTTTTCATCTTTATTTAGCGACTAATAAAATATTTTTGTGTTATAATTAAGTTTTAGTAATATCTAATCATTTTTTTATTATAGATTGTTATATTCCTCTTACGGCTTCTGGTCTCTTACAACGAAATTTTTAATTGATGACACTAGAATAAGACACTAGAAACAACAAAAACGCATGCTTGAAATTCTTATGAAATACTATTGAAATAAAACGATACGCCCATAAAGTGACACTTATAATTGATTGAATACATTTGCAAAATATTCCGAAAACTTTCATTTTGCTTCAATAATCAATAAATAAGCATAAAATTAACATGACATGCAATCTTTCTTTTTAACCTATCTTTTCTCGTGATTTATAAATTTTCTCGTGTCTTGTAAATTTTACAATCATTTATTGATATAGTTAATTAAAATTTTTGGAATATATTACAAATGTGTAAAATCGATTGTTATTTTATGAACGTATCTTTTTATTTTAACGTATTCCGCATAATTTTAGGCATATATTTTCTCACTTCTGATGTCATTAATCAAGATTGCTGCGCTGGGGAAACAGCACCTTTAATAATTGCTATCAAAAATGCTAAAACTCCCCTTTAGGGGAGGCAGCTCCAATGATCTTGTCCTTGACATATGTTATAGAGGTTACACTCCTCAGTGACCTTCTGAAGTTTTTAGCCATCGCTCGTTGTTCGTTAAAAAGTTATTAACAAAAGAAGTTGCATAAAATGAATATAATTTTTGGACACACGCACACATCGCGAGCTTGCCCGGACGGGCGGGTGGGTTAAATCGTCCAAATATAATAGGAACACACGCACATACCGTGAGCCCGCCCGGGCGGGCGGGCGAGCAGTGTGTGTGTGCTAGGAGCAGGCATCTTCCTAGCGTACAAATTCGATGTTTTTATATATACGGTGTCCAAAAATTACATTCATTTTATGCAACGTTTTTTGTTAATAATGTTTTAACAAACAACGAGCGGTGGCTAAAACCTTCAGAAAATTACTCAGAAGGGTGTCAAGGTGACATATGTGACATATGTCAAGGTCAAGGTCATTGGAGCTGTCTCCCCTAAAGGGGAATTTTACTGAAAAAATAAATATCAAAATATAATATTCTATTTAGAAGAACAAATATGATCTTCAAATCTTCAAAACTATTTCACCTAAAAAAAAGTGATACTGTCATAAAATCTCACTTTTGTACTATGTAATTTCTATTAAATAAATTTTTCTCTTACTCTCACATACATATTTCGAAGATATTCAAAATATAGTAATAGTTACTGCCTCATTCTGTATATTATATATTATTCCAGGATAGGCTAAAGCAAGCTTTTAAACAACAAGAACTTAGTGGGACTGATGGACATAGGCGAAAAAGAAAAACAATTTCTTCGGATGTAAGGGAGCCTGAAGCAGATGAAAAAACAGAAGTAAACAAAATCAAAGAAGAAGAGAAGGACGAGAAGCCGAAACTGAAAAAGAAGTCACTACCGCCGCCTATAGGTTACGCAGAACTGATAAAACTAGCGGAGAAAAAACAACATGAACCGGTGATCATAGAAGTTAAACCAAAAGATGAAGAATTAAGGCCAATGACAAAGCGTCAACAACAAGAATATATAAGAGAAAAAGAAAGAAAAGAACAACGTGAGAAAAATTCAGAGACAATTAAAAAATCGAGCATTGTAAATGCACCTAGTAGACCTGCTAAAATACAGTCGAATAAAATTCTAAAAACTAGTGAGAAACCTATAACACCAAACTCAATACCGGATAAAAGTATTCTGAGAACTGCGTTAACTACTCCTAAAAAAGTTAATAACAAATTCAACGATAAACATAACTCAGAGAAAACTGATTCAAGCAAATGTCCATCTAAGGATGAATTATTAGAAGAAAAGAAGAAATTAGAAGCCGAGAGAAGACAATTGGAAAAAATGCGTCGTATTATCGAAGAAGAAAAAAAGAAATTGACGCAAAGTCGAAATAAGCAGGAGGATGTGAAATGCCAAACAAAGTTTTCTAATAAAGTACCATCGAAACCTAAAGTCGCGGATAAACAGATATCATACAAAGATGTTAAATCATTTGCTGATTTAAAGTTACAATCATCGTTAACTAATGATAAACCGAAGCAATTTCCACCGTCTGATGTTAGGCTCATAAAACATAAGCAGAATGTTAAAAAATCTGCACTTAATAAACGTAAGTTTATAAATCAAATCTATCAATCATGTAAAATATATCAGTGTTAAGTCTTTCAGCTATATAAGTTCGCGACCAGATAGGTTGTCCGCTATTTTTTATATCAGTATCGAAACATAGTCTTGTTCAATGAGAGAATTTTCCCACAATCAAACAAGCCAATAAGAGCCAGTTGTGCAAGATACTACAGTTGCTAATATTTAATTAATTATTATAGTTTTATCAAACATTGAACAAAGAGTATTCTTTAAAACAACTAAAAATCAATTAAATATTCTACTCGTTATTTCATTAGTAAAAACACAGTGTTTATATTAAAAATATTGACAGAATACATCGTGCGTGCGTTGAAATGTTGAAAATATAGTCCAACGCGCACGTTAGACCGTTGAAAAATGTCATCTTCCCGCTTAGATTAGATTTTAATTATTACGTACAACATCTAGTGAAGGATATTACTTGTTAACCTTTCTTTTGATTATTTATCTTCAAAATTTGTACAAACTCTTTTTATTTTATTTTACGATATATGTCAAATAATCTTAGAAAGCCCAAATCAATATTAATTTTTTAAATAGACCTTAAATAGACGCTACTTAGGAGTCAAATGGTCGATATCGAGCGGTCGATATCCTTACTATCAGCTCGAAAACGTCGTATTCGATAAATTGTCCGAATTGATATATTATATTGCCGGCTGCGGTTAATATATCCGCTCTGTACGGATTGTCTGCAACGTTTGTTTGTTATTTATTGTGGCGTAAAGTACCGGTTTCGATTTAACAGATGATTGATCGGTCATTGTTAACCCTTAAAAGACAGCGCGATATAGAACACCGGTAAAATTTTTTCGTCTTGATAATTCTAAATTAGAATTAGAAAATTAGACTTAACGCGATATCTGTTAGTAGCTTAGGATACCCTCTTTATGATCGAACAGGTATAAGTCTTAAAGTGTCAGTGTGCTCGCAGTAGCGAAAAAACTTTCATCCTTCAAATAAATATCTTTTTTAAAACGCGCACTATCGCGCGTATTTCCCCTTTAAAGTAACATATCTCAAGAGTATCTAGCTAGATTTTTACTTAAAAATATTAAAAAACGTAAAAAAAGTTATTTTTCACAGTTTCGCTTCTCAAATTTTTTTTTCACTATTTTATAACTACAATTTCTTAATAAAACTTATTACTCCTTATTTTAGATTGTTTAAACTTTACTCAGTAATCCTTTGCATTAAAAAATTAAATAACGTCGTCATAGCAAGCATTTAACCCGGAAGTGGAGTCATACCGGTCATTTCCTCATACTTTTTTGTTTTTTATTTATATCATCTAATCTATTGATATTATCGTATTTTCGCTTTTACGTAAATTTTCTTTGATGTTTTGTCTTATAGCATGGAGAAGTAGACGGTATAGACGCGCTTATTTCTATGTGAAATTTGATACGTTTGTAGCAGTCGGTCTAAAAGACCATAGTGCGCCTATTAACATTAGTCTTTTATCTCTGCCGCGTCAGCGTCGCTCGATGTCCCGCAAACGTCTATTGTCTTTTCGACATCGTAGTTGGGCGGACAGTTCTCTCTAGTGTCTCGAATATTACAATTATAAACGTGCAAACATGAGTAAGCGATCTAGAAAGAATTATTTAGAAGGATATAAAACAGAAGAAACAATTAGTGATTCGGAGGATTCTGAGTACATATATGAGACGTTAATAACTGCATTGTACCAATGCAGTTAAAATAAAAAATATTATGATTTTATTTTTAATATGTATAATAAGTATTTTTTATATATAATAAGTTTAATATGTTTCTTAAACATATTAGATATAGAAATGATAAAGAGAAAAAAAGAGGAGGAAAAGAAGAAATAGTGACATAATAAAATTATTTCCTTCAATTATTATGTTTTTTTTAACAATTGAATTGGTAATTTATTAATTATTACTCAATTATTATACATATATATGCTTAAATATATTTCGGTCGAAATGATCAGTACGCGCCCCCTAACGTTGATCCCGTTAACGACTTCACTCCCGGATTAAAGATGTTGGGGTATATTCCCCATCATCCCATATCATTCCATGTGATCTTTATAAAATTCTGACGTGACTTTTAAGGGTTAATAATGATGCCTGGTACGTATCATTATGCAGTTACAAAGCTGTTGGTAACGCAGTGCAAAATGTTTATTAACCTTAAAGTGAGATTATCGAAAAGTGAATACTTTTCGAAATACAAAAATATGAAGTATCTCGTTAAGTATTCACTTTTCGATGATCTCACTTTTCGATAATCTCAGGTTTGATCTACAATATGCAAAGTAAGCTTGGAATAACAAGTAAGCCGTAAGAATTGGCCAGTTATAGTCGATTATTATAAGAATAATCAACTATGATTGGTCAATTCTTACGGCTTACTTTTTACTCTAAAGCCAGCGGCATATGATGCTTGTTTTCGCGCTGGATTGCTTGCTAGATGGAAATACTCTATTCTGATTGGTCCGTCTTCAGAGATGCACCAATCAGAACAGAATATTTCCATTCAGCAAGCAATTCAGCTTGAAAACAAGCATCGTGTGCCGCTGGCTTAAGCTTACTCCGCATATTGTAGACCAATACTTTCGAATGTGAAATTACGGATAAAATCGATTGTTATAAGAAAACAAAAAAAATGTTAAGAAAATTCTGTTGTAATTTACAGATTGATTGATGCATCAATGTGCAAAGATTAGTATCGATAGATAGTATATATACTGATATAGATACACTGATAGATTTCTCTGGTCATGTACATACTGATAATAGTAGAGTGAGATTAACAAGAATTGAATATTACACAAAATATTTCATATCTTGTACTGAAAAATGTATGGGTAAAATATAAGATTTCCGGAAAAGTATTCACTTTTTGACAATTTTATTTCAGTATTTTAATAGAATGTCCAAAGAAAAATCTATTTATTTTTAAAAACCGCATTATTCTATTTAAAAAATTAAATTTGGCCTTGATAGAGTTTCTAAGATCATCCAAGATCAAATAAATACTATCAACTAATAATTTTTTTTCAACACTATCATTTTTATTTAGACCATTTTTCCAATAAAGTAGAGTTAGGTACATTTCGACTTGCTCCGCCTAATACTATTTTCTTTACTTTATCGCTTCACATACAAACTACGAGTTATTTAAGATTCAGGAAAATATAACTTATAAATATATATTTTTAATAGTAAAAAGCTATTAGAAATATATGTTTACAAGTTACAAACCTATAGATTATGATAAGCAGAACAAGTCGAAAATCGATCGAAATGTGCAAGGCATGCCGAGCTCTTCATTAAAATAATTTTTTAAATAATTGGCCGCTCTAAAACTTTTGGTATATACTGAATATTTTAATTTTACAGGACGCATATATGACGATTGTGAAGATTATGATTCAGACATTAATGATTTCATAGATGATGGACCGGAAGAAGACAATGAAGATTATAGTAAACACATCAGCGAAATCTTTGGTTATGATAAAAGTAAATATAGGCAGGTTGATGATGAGGATGATATTGCTATGGAGAGTAATTTTGCGCAGCAACTTAAAGAAGAATATGTATCTACGAAAATAGGTACTTATTAATATAACTTATAATATTATCATTATTAAATTTTTAATAGGTTAATTTAACGTAATAAGAGTTGTAATTTTGCGAATTAATAAATTATTAATAAATAATAACGAATTTAATAACTCCCAATCAATTAATATAGTTTAATCAACTAATCAACATACTAATTTCCAATTAATTACATCAAAGTTTAATTTTGTATACTAGCAATCCATTAATGTTACACACAAATTAAATTATCTTAATATGATTATTAATTAAGATAAAGTATTAATACAAAATTAAATATTCTTGCAGGGATTATGGAAGATTTAGAAGATATGCGTATAGAAGCATTGGAGAAGAAGAAAAAAGAAGAAAAAAGAAGTTTTTTAAAAAAGAAGATGAGAAAATAATAACATTGATTCTAACTTTTGTTTATCTGATTCTTATTGATTCTTATTGTTAAAAGAATACATACATTTGTTTAAAAAAATAATTAAATTTTTCTATTATATAGATAATAAATAAGAAATTTATGTTACATATTCTTTATTATATATTCAGGTTGTTTAACACATCTCGATCGCTCGCGTGCAGACAGAATTCATTTAACTAAATAGGAATGTCTTTTATTACTTTGTAAAAAACCATGATAATTATCGAGATATTGGTTAAAAGAGACTCGCAAGTTAGTGCGAAGATATATGTTGTGTTGAATAACCTGTATAGAGTATATACATATATAGTAATACAAAAAATATATAAATTATAATTTAATACACACAGGCTGTTTTATAACTACTAATATAAATAGGAGAGCAGGAGAGGACGGGGGTGATACTACATGAAACCATGATAATTATCGAGATATTGGTTAAAAGAGACTCGCAAGTTAGTGCGAAGATATATATTGTGTTGAATAACCTGTATAGAGTATATACATATATAGTAATACAAAAAATATATAAATTATTGGGTGTACAACTTAATTCGGTCCGTTTTTTTGCTTGAAAAACGCATTTATTTGAATGATAAAATGAATTAATACATTATTGAAAGTATTGTCCATCGCTAGCCACTACTTTTTCCCATCTTTCTGGCAATTTATGGATTCCATCGCGGAAGAAGCGTTCATCTTTTGAAGCCAAGAATGAATCGAGCCAATTTTTGATACCCTGTTCTGAAGTGAAGTGTATTCCAGTCAAAGCGTTCTGCATCGATCGAAACAAATGGTAGTCGGAAGGGGCAAGGTCTGGGCTATAAGGCGGGTGAGCCAGAACTTCCCATCCGCTATTTTCCAAATAGTTTTTAACCGGAACAGCAACATGAGGTCGAGCGTTGTCATGGTGAAAGATTATGGACTCGTGTCTGGACGCATATTCTGGACGTTTTTCGGCTATAGCTCGCTTTAAACGGATCAATT